CTAGAACCTCAAAACTGCTGATGCACTGCTACAATAAATGGTCACTAAGTTACATAGAGAAACAGCACAAAGATGAAAGGCTGCAGTTCAGGTGTCCTGCTCGTCCTGTGCATCCTGGTCCTACCAATCTCCTCTGCTATACCTGTGGTCCTGTTGATCTCCTCTGTTGCAATCTGCAATCCAGATGGAGAGGTAGAGACACATATCAGCTCTGCCTCCAACTGGCAGCTCTTTCCAAGCCATATTTGAGTCCCTCAAGCTAAGGAGTGGTTAGAAACCATTACAGAAAACAAGAGCAATGGAGGAAAACTATTTTTGAGTGACAGGGTCTGTGACTTACTTGCTCAGCAGGCAATTAAGCGTGCTGAAAACCCATCTGTCAGATTAGATTCCGTGGAAACTTAGGCGTGCACACATCTAATCTGAGCCTAGATTGGGCCTAGGAATTAGGCAGTGTTGAATAACTGAATACTTGTTGAGACAGCTGAACTTTGGAGCACGCCCTAGAACAGCACCACAGGTCACTACACTAAAATTTGCTTCAAAGCTGTCTTTCTGATGGTTCTGAACTCACTTTAACATTCTCAGCAGAGTTGGTGTTGCAAGTTAGGAGCTCACCATATCTCAAGTCTGTGAGGAAACACACAGCAGCACTTGGAAGGCCAACTGTGTTCTGGGCTGCACTAAAAAAGGGGTGGCCAGCAGGGAGAGGGAGGTGATCGTCCCCCTCTGCTCAGCTCTTGTGAGGCCTCATCTGCAGTACTGCGACCAGACCTGGGGCCTCCAGTGCAGGAAGGACGTAGAGCTGTTGGAGTGGGTCCAGAGGAGGGCCACTAAGATGATCTGAGGAGTACCTCTCCTATGAGGAAAGGTTGAGGGAACTGGGCTTGTTTAGCTTGGAGAAGAGAAGGCGCCAGGGAGACCTCATTGTGGCCTTCCAATACTTGAAGGGAGCGTATAAACAGGAAGGGGAACTGTTTACAAGGGTGGGTAGTGATAGGACAAGGGGGAATGGTTTTAAACAGACAGGGGAGGTTTAGGTTATAGATATTAGGAGGAAGTTTTTCACACAGAGGGTGGTGAGGCACTGGAACAGGTTGCCCAAGGAGGCTGTGGATGCCCCATCCCTGGAGGCATTCAGGGCCAGGTTGGATGTGGCTCTGGGCAGCCTGGTCTGCTGGTTGATAACCCTGCACACAGCAGGAAGGTTGAAACTGGATGATCATTGTGGTCCTTTTCAACCCAGGCCATTCTATGATTATCTGCTGGAGCTGACTAAGTCCCAAAGGCTTTCCACCCAGGTATGTCAAACTGCTAAAATTCAGGACTGGTTGGACAGAAGTTGGTCACAGGCTGCAGAAAACTTCAGTCCTGCAGCAGTTAACCTTGACTCCATACCCCAGAACTGTCCCACATCCTGTGAGTCTCCAGTCTCCTTCAGGATCACATGGGAGCAAGGGCAGAGTCTGTCATTTTATGTCAGCAAGACACCATTTCTTAGTGAAAAATGTTCTTTGGTAGGCATATCCAAGTGTCAATAGCACGAGAAAAACCACAGTACAGTAGAGAATTTATTTTCTCATCAGCTTTCAGGAGGAGACTAGCAGTGAACAAATACCTATACTTTCTAAATCCCATGCACAGAAGACATTAGACTGAACTTCACTAAATGTTTAGTAGGAAACAATTCCCTAATATAATTAAGTTTTGTGTTGTTTTGTTTTGTTTTTTTTTTCTTTTGCTGAGGAACCTTAAAGATACCACAGGTCAGAGCTGCAGGAGATGGGAAAGAACTGTGTGGGATTACCTGCAGGCATACATTATCGGGTGGGTGCTGTCAGCCTCTTACTTTCCTGTGCAATAAGCATTGTGGGGGAAATCACCGTGTCTTTCTTCCCCTTTACCTCTGCTGCACAAGAGCAAAAAAAAAAAAGTATTTCTGAGAACACTGTCGCAGGGATCAAAAGCCTTTTTCTACAGGCTCTGACCTAGTTCTTTCATTCTTACTAGAGGGAAGAAAACACTTAAAGGAACATTGTCAAAACTGTTCGGTTTAAAAATAGGCTTACCTTGGCAGTGCTCCCATCTAGATGGGCTCATACTAAGGAGCACAGGCTCCCTCCCCATGCAGACACCGATACATTCATCCACCCAAAGCACTGGTACACTGTAGCCCGAAGGACCACCCAGTCCACACACTCTCTTCCGAGACAAATACAGTGACCCACATTCAAACTCCATTTTGGCTGAATCCCTTTCAACCCCTGCTCAGGTATGTATATCGTGTAACTGCCAAAGAACTCCAGAACCCTCCAGATTCCTATTTCATATTTGCAAATCTAACTCTGTCGACTATCCTGGTAAGAGATTTGTTTTCTTTAAGTAAACCACTAGATATTTGTTGCCATAAGCAAACTCCAGTAGTTCATTCTAAGACAGCACTGAAAACAGTCAAATTTGAGAAAAACTTCAACAGGTTGTTAACACAAAATGAGATTCTTTCAAACATTCTCCACAAACTAAACATCCCAAAGCGTTTTCATTTCAGCCACACAGCGTTCCTGAATTGAAAGGGGAAAAAAAAAACCAAAAAACTGTCCCTGGGTTCGTGGCTGCAGCTGAGGAATGGGCGTTTTCCCAGAACAATAGCAGGGGCAGAACTGGCCAGACAGCGGATGCTGGCTCCAGCAGGAACTGCCATGCTCCAGGACCTGAGGTTCTCTTGTGCCCCAGGGACCTAACCTTCTCTGCCAGTTGTGTGCCAGACATGAGTCCACACAAGAAGTGGGTTGGTCCAAGAGCGCAGAAGCCTTGTGGCACTAAAAATAAATAAAGACCCAGGAAGCCCAACCATGAAGGCTATACAGCCTTACTTAAGCCAGGTTTTCAGGGTTTTCCTAATTCCCAAGCTTCTACAGCTGATGCACGGAAGGTTATGCCCTCAAGTTCCTAAGCAGCAAAGCAGGAAAACATTTTTCCCCCCAACCAAAACAAACAAATCAACTGGAAAAAGAAACAAAACAGTTTGTGTTTCCTGACTTTAAGACACTTTGAGTTCAGTAAACTGGCATTTTTCTACAAAACTCTTCAAGTTTAAAGAATTCTACAGCAGCTTGACTTTTGATAGAGCACGATCCACATGCTGCAGTGACAGGAGCCATTAGAGACAAGTAACCTCAGCTTCCCTAAGTTCCACATGTTACCTGCCAAGAGGCACAGTTCATGGAAAGAGCACAGCCCACACCCATGAGCTTGATTGATACTGTGGAGCACACATTAAGATAAAAGCATGCTTTTAAGCACCTTCAACAAAGAAGCATGGTCCCAATAGAAACCTAGGGATAAGAACTTAAATTTGCATGAACTACATCCACAGAAGGTAGCCACAGCCACGTGGCTACCTATGCTGCAGAAGTAAGTGGTCATCTTGTTGTAGTAGTGTGAGGGGAACAAAGTTGCAGAGTTGTACAGCAGTCCGAAGGCAAAACAATTGAGGGATGAAAATCAAAACGAGGGAAAAGCAGCACATACAGACAAGAAGAGAGCTTCTGAGAGCTCACAGCAGGGATGCATCTCAGAGAGAGGAAAAGAGAAGAAAGGGTTAAAGAGGAAACAAATCCCAAATCATCTCAAGAGGAAGGAGAAGCACTGCTTCCCAAAGGTTTAGCAGAGCTTTTCTTCATTAATATTTACAAAGCTTTTAGAGCCTGAGATGGAAGGCACTGCAGATACGAGAGGAATTATTTCAGACCTGAAAAAATCTAGCAAACAGACTGATGAGGAGTTCAAGTGAATAAAGAAGGATGACATTGGAGAGTGCACTGAAATAGGGGTTGCTACTGGCATGTGAACCATCTGGTGCATGGCAGCCCATTTCATTTACCCACCATCAGGCACGCATGCTCAGTTACATAGTTAAGTTTCTGCCACAGGATGAGAAACACTTTTACTCCAGATCATTACCTTCTTTTCGTCATTACAGATCATTATAACCAAATACGCTAATCAATAAAGCACGCTGAGCATAAAGAACCTGCATGTCTTAAAGAAAGGCTGAAAACTTACGATGGACAACTTCAGATGTACACAGACATCTATGGAGATACAGTGGTTTTGTTCACCTTGCTTAGAACTTGGTTTACAAGGATGTTACTGCCTTCAGCAGGCCCAAGTTTCAGCTTGACTCTCATTTGTGCTGCTCACTTCAGTACTTAAAAGACAGCTTCAGCATCGCTGTCACAATGTGGTATGCAGCCTCAGACAGAAGCACTGAAATCAGCCCACCTGAGAAAGGAGCTGAATGAAGGCTGCTCAGAATTGAGCACACCTCACCCCCAGAAAAGAATGACAGACCCCAGAGTATGCACAGGAAGAGCACAGGTGGCCACTTCTCACACTCTAAACCTCTAGAACTGTCCTGCAGTCACGGAAGAAAGCAAGATGGGACCCGAAGCCAAGAATTCTCAATGCCTTGGGGAAAAACTGTGGGAAGTTCAGAAGCAGACAGCAGGAGGGGATTTGCCATGTTCCATCCACATCCCTCCTTTAACATCCCAAAAGGAGCAGGGCCACGCACCTAATGCCGCAGGAGCCGGCACCCAACGGGTGACGCCGGCGGGCAGCACTCCGGGCAGGGCACTGCGCCAGGAGCCGGGCTCGGCACCGGGCTTCGGGAGGACCGGGGGGCGAAGGAAGCGGGGCACGCAGCCTCGGGGCTCCATGCTCACGGCCTCAGGGCACGGCGGGAGGCGACGAGGGCCGGAGCTGCCGCGGAGAGAGGCGGAGGAGCTCCGCCGGGAGCGGCGGGCCCGGAGGGGAAGTTGCCGGGCTGCGGGCGCCGGGCCGGGCGGAGAGGCGAGGCGAGGCGGGCGGCAGAGCGGGGCCGGAGCTCCAGGGCCGCCACCTCGCCCCGCCGGCCCCGCCGCAGGTGAGCGCCCGGGGGAGGAGACGGGGGAGGGACCCCGAGGGGGGACGGAGAGCCGGGGACGCGGAGCCCTTACCTTCCACCGCCATCCTCCCGGCCTCGCATAGTGTGCCGGCCGCCGACACGGCGCTGCCCCGGCCGCCCCCCCGCCCGCGCGCGGGCTCGGCTCATCTGCGGCCGCCGCGATCAACCTGCGGCTCCCGCTGACAGCCGGGCGGGGCCGCTCCGCCCCGCAGCACGCCGGGAAACGTAGTCCGGGGCCTGCCCGCACACACGGCACCGCCGGCGCGCGGCCCAGGTGCCGCTCGGCCCGAGGCCTTTGAGGGGCATCGGGTGTCTCCGCCCCGAGCGAGGGCCAGGCACCAGGAGTGCGGTGCTGGTTTGGCCTGGCAGGTGCCCAGCCTGAAGGTGCGAGGTGCTGCCCTGCGTCACGCTGCTCTCCCTGCCGCCCCTTTATCCTGTCCCACACCGACAGGTTGCCCAAAATCCTGGGGGAGGATAGCAACACGGTAACTGAGTCTTGCACCGATCAAAGATCTTGCTACCATCTTTGTGATGTTTGCTGTCTGAAAAACAGCGCTGCATTTCTACCCTGTTTTAGTTTTGAGATATCAAAAATCTTGGAGATATTTCTCCCTCAAAAATCCTTCCCTTCCCTTCCCTTCCCTTCCCTTCCCTTCCCTTCCCTTCCCTTCCCTTCCCTTTCTACATGGAAAGAGCCTGTGAGCTCCTTCATCCACAAAAGTCATTAATAAAACCAGGAGGACAATAGCCAAGGAACTGAGTGTACAAGGGCATATGTTATACAGATAGGCTATGACAACATTTTCACATGTTCTTTTGATTTGTTAGCAATGAATGAGCATTATTCAAGGCAGGTTAGTTTTGCAAAACAAACTTCCAAGACATTGCATTGAAGAACTGGCTTGTTCTTTGCTCTCATATGCAGTTGAACTATTAACCTTTGTGTTCTATATGAGTCAAGATACACACTTCCTGGAGCAGCAGCCTTGTCTTTCACCTATCTGCAAAGTGGTATGCATAGTCACAATGCATTATCAGTGATAATTAAAAGGATGTGCAGATTCCCAAGTGCAACACAATCACGCACCTAATCCCAGCTGATGCACAAAATGGGTTGTTACTCTTCTACTTTCTGCCAGACAACAGGCTGTTCTTGATTGTTCTTGGTATATTACACATGACCTTCAGCAATTTTTATTCACTGTACAATGTTTTGTGACTTTGGTGACATTTTTTGTTAAGCTAATATATTCTATTAATAATTATTTTTTCATTTAATCATGACAATATTTGAGGGTAGTTAGTGTAATTTTCTGGCTAACCAGCGTGGCTTCACTGAGGACAAATCATATTTGACCAACCCAGTGGTCTTTCATGATAGTGTCACTGCATCAATGGGCAATGGAAGAGTCACTGACATCATCTATCTATCAACGATCAGGCCTTTAGCAACCTGATCTAGCTGTGCATTTCCCTAACTGCAGGCAGTTAGTCTAGTTGGCCTTCAATGGTCCCTTCCAACTCTAAGGATTCTATGATTCTAACATATGGGAAGCGTTGCTTTCTTGGTTAGAATGAGTTAGAAGCCATACTATGAATAAATCAAGGCTCAGAGTTCAGGTGGTGTGGATGGGGAGAGCTACTTCCTTTAGTATGCTGAATTTCTGACAGCATTTCAGCTATGGGCCCTGAGGACATCCCCAGCGAGTACAGCTTTACTAAGCCCTTTAAAAGCCCTGTAATTTTTAATTACAGCTTTGTGCCTGATGAAGAACAGCAAAATTATGGCTATGACTAGACAGCAAATAGGGCATGACAGATGTTGAAAGGTATAGTTTTTGAAACTTAATGTTACATGATAGCTAGTGAAACCTAGTATTTAACAATATTTAAAAGCATCAAAAACATCTACAATTCAGGTCAAGACCAGGCAAATTGTAATTTAATGTATGTCACTCATTAGTGAAAAGAGGCTGTAAATTGATTCAATTAATATATGGTGAAGTACAATCTGTTTTGAGCGTAGCCTTCAAAAACATCAGTGAGAGCTAGATAACTTTCTAAAAACATCCTACTAAATTATAGAGTAGAAAACGACCAGCTTTCTCAGCTTAGGAAGAGCTTTTTAATCACACTTCCTTGCTTCCCTTTTTACCTTGACTTCTCCAGACATATTTCTTCTAAACTTTCTCTTAAAAATATATCAACCTTCCTTGAAACAGGCACAGCAAAAGTCCATTTCCTGTATATTTTTCTCTAGGTCTCCAGATGAAATAAGCAAAAGCTCCATAGCCATTCATATTATTTCTAGGTAGGACTAAAACCAGCTAATGTTAAATGAAAGTGCATTCATCAACAGTGCAGCTCTACTTGAAGAAGAGAGCTAATGAAATCATTGAACTTGTGTACATCGGTACACTGCCATCCATCATCAATTTTCCTTTATTTTCCCCCTTCACTTTACAGAAAGTCAAGTCCTTAAGACTTAAGCATCCCTTTGTGCTGTGAAGTAATTTATGCAAAACAGTCAAATTCTCAGTCGTCTTCATCTAATGACCTTGGTAGTGAAGCAGTTCTGCCATATAGGTGTGACTCAAATGTGATTAACTCTTCTGGGTGCCCGAACACATGCATAGAGCTGTCTTATAGCAACAATTCAACAAAGATCTGAAAATCAAGAACCTCCAGTCAGACACCAAGTGCCTTCATCTTTGGGCAGCATCACAGCATCCGCTCTGAGTTATCCTGTATTCTTACCAGTGCTGGGACCACCCTGATCTGAATGCTGTGAAAAGCAGTGATTTACCTTCCCACCCTCTGTTGCTAACTTTTGATGCAACAGCCTTTCTGCTTGAAAACTAACCTGGAACAAGACTGGTAAGTGTTACCTCTATCAGTTACTTTTTTGTTATTCACTGTATGGTTGCCCAAATTCGGGTGCTAGCAAGTGGAGTGTAGTTTCTTCTGGTGGTTTGAAGAGCCCAGGGGCTTTTAGAGGTGTATCATATTATAAATCAATTTCATCTTACCTGGGTCAGGTAAACATCCTCTCACTGATGTTCTCTTAGGACTCTTTTTCCTCTCTGGGCATTCACAGCTTCCTAATCTTGGTTGAAAGGAGCTACATCAACATCTACAGCTTTTAAAAAAGACTGAAGCAGATGAGAGTTTGACTGCATGTACAGGGGGTCAGCAGTGGTGCTAGTGAGGAGGAGTTGAGGAGAGTAATGTATTCATATGGGGGATCTACAGCTGGATGTTCATAAACTTATCTTCCTTTTCAGTGAGGCACCCATTATTACTAATGATCTCGTTGGACTGAGAGTATGATCTCCACAAAGATCTATATAAATCGCTTGTGCCTGTGTTTTCAAGAGAAGATACAAAATGGCTTAAGACAAGCAATGATGGTAAAACAAACATTATGGGTAAGAATGACAAGGTACAAAGAGGATTTATATGCATATATTGAAATCTCCTTCTATCTTCTGAGCTCTATCACTTGCTGTACTTCAGGGCTCCACATGGACCATGATTCCTTTTCTTCGCTCTGCATAAATAGCAGCTGTTGCAAAGAAAGTTCAGAATGTGTCAGGACGGGGAGAAGGTTCCTATACTAGATGCTTAAGGACTAGAAGACTATATTGAATCCTTAGCTTTCCCCATCAGAGGAAAGGCAAAGTAATGCTCCTCAGACCAATGCAGAGCTTGGCAGTTTCAGTACTGGAGATGTGAGATCAGTGATTGAGACGTACAGTTACTTGAAAAAATGCCTGGGTCCCTTTTCCTCATAGAAAAGTAGAACAAACTGCTCTCATGACTCTCCATTGGGAAGTATAAGTTACTGAGACATAATGCTTAAGAATTCTCAAGAAAATGGAAGAACCAGATCTAATAGATACTGTGCATATAGGCAGAGGTAGACATTTCTGTGAAACGGTCTCTTGTAGCTGGGCCGTGTCACTGGTCAGCAGACTGAGTCAATACAGTTGGATATCTTGTTTAAACACAACAACCAATGCTTTCTGCTATTATTTGCAGAACTGCAACTTGATGTGGGCAGAACCAGCTCAGTGCTCTCAGTAACCCACAGTCACAGAAGCATGGAAGTGGTGCTGCTGGAAGGAAGCTCTGGAGGTCACTGAGTCTAAAAGTCCCTGCTCAGAGCAGGGGCAGCTACAGCAGGCTGCTCAGGATTGTGCCCAATCCTGTTTGAATACCTCCATGGGTGGAGACTTTACATCCTCTCTGGGCAACTTCTGTTACTGTTCAGTCACTCTTCAGGGTTTCTTAAGTGTACTTGGAATTTCCTGTATTTCAGTTTGTGGCCATTGACAACTCAACAGTAATGACCCACTGTTGTCTGCTGGGGTTTACCACTGAAGACTGGCTTTTAAATATACTTTGTGTCACCAATCACAACCCTTTAAGCCCATCACATCAGCCAGTTTTCAGTGTAGGTTATCATCTTCTCATCTAGTCTGTACTTCATCAGTTTTTCTGAGAAGTTGTTATGGGACACAGTGTTAAAAGCCTTGCCAAATTCAAGATAAATAATATCCACTGCCGTCCCCCTATCCATTACATTGATCTTTTTTAATTGTAGGCTATCAAGTTAGTCAGGCACAATTTCCCCTCTGTAAATCGGTTTTGACCATGGATTCCATCCCAAAGGCATTCCCATCCTATCTGCAGTTGGAAATGTTTTCTGGTATTCGTTGCTCCTTTAGAAGGACTGAGGTGACAATGTCTGGTTTGTTATTCTCCAACACACTGATTTTGTGTGCATTGAAATTTCTGTTGTGGAGCCTCAATGAGCTCTGCATCAGTAACACACACATACACTCTTCCTGATAGGCAGCTAGAGACGTTTGCAGTTATGCAAAATAGATATTGAATTCATATTGGTAGCTTTTGGCACAGGTGGAAATAATATCTGAGGAAACTTTAGGCAGCATTATCATAGCTTTGCTGGATCTCCTCAGAGAAATATACATGAACCTGTGCAATATGGGACATGTACCAGTGTACAGAGCCCATCTTGAGTGTAATCTGTGCATGCACATTGGTGTATACTGAGCATGGTGCAACCAGACTTGTGTTCAGAATATTTCATT